AAATTCACGGAGATGCTTCAGACGGGGTCTAAAATAGCGCAGCATGGGTGAAGTCATTTAGAGGAGTCTGCATGAGATTTGAAGAGAGAACCACTTGCCACCACTTTCCATAATGTAACAGAAAGATCAGTGTTCTGTATATTTCAGATTAACATATTAAATAATAGTTTGTACTGATATGCAATAATTAGAGTTTGTCAGTCTGTCTTGAGCATAAACCCTTGGATGTGGGCATAAAATCACATGATAAAATAGTTGACAATTTGGAGGAGGGTGTGATACACATTATTATTAAATTGTGAGGCCCTCTATGCATATTATTCTGCCTTTTCTGATGGATAAAGGTTGTGATTAACTCTCTGCAATTCCTTGCATTGTGTGAGCTTCTATCCTCAGCCTCCAACATCTCACTGAATCAAAATCATGCCTGGAGCAGAATCACATTGTCAACATCAATTCAATTGCTTCTGCCCATGAACCCACCTCTGTATGCCCCTACAAGCCTGCTTTGGGCCTCTCTTCTGTAATTCCTGCTGATTAGTTGTTAATCAGTTGGTTAGCACATGATTGATTCTGATCACTTAAGCTGAACTATCAACATCTTTTATTCACCAGCAATCTACACCCACCAGCAGCACCACCACAGCAACCCCCAACCCCAAACCAAGTATGGCATGAATTGAGAAGTTGATGGCCTAGTGGTATTATCAGTGGACTGTTAAACCAGAGACCCAGATAATGTCCTGGGGACCTGGGTTCAAATCCCACCATGGCAGATGGTAGGAATTGAATTCAATAAATATCTGGAATTAAAAGTCTAGTGATGACAATGAATCCATTGTCGATTGTTGGAAAAACCCATCTGGTTCACTAATGTCCTTTAGGGTTGGAAACTGCCATCCTTACCTGCTCTGGCCTACATGTGACTCCAGACCCACAGCAACGTGGTTGACTCTTAACTGCCCTCTGGGCAATTAGGAATGGGCAATAAATGCTGCCTAGCCAGCAACGCCCATACCCCTTGAATGAACAAAGAAAAAAAAATAAATGCTGCCCCCTTCACACTTCATTTCAGCTCTGATTAATGCATCCAGACTTGAAACGTTAGCTTGTTCTCTCTCCACAGAAGCTGTCAGACTCGCTGTGATTTCCAACATTTGTTGTTTTCAGTATAGATTCCAGCATTTTCAGTAATTTGCTCCTACATTGATGTGGCTGATTGGATTGGGTGGGAATGGGTGGTACACCAGCTTCTGCTTCTGCTCACGTCACCTACTCATTCCCGTAAAAGTCTATTTGTTGTGTGATTATTCAATGCAGTCCATTGAGCATGGCGAGATAACAACAGCAAAATTGAAAATAGAGATTGACATTACTCTACTTCTGAGAAGCACTCTGCTGATAATTTCTTATTACATCACTTTCTGTAATGTTTATCACAAACAACGAGTTATCACAGTCAACAAGGTGTAGAGTTGGATGAACACAGCAGGCCAAGCAGCATCAGAGGAGCAGGAAGGCTGATGTATCGGGCCTAGACCCTTCTTCAGAAATTTCTGAAAAAGGGTCTAGACCCAAAATGTCAGCTTTCCTGCTCCTCTGATG